ACTTTAGGACTAGAAACAGAAAGGTTTAAGATTAGGAAAGAGAAAGTGCTAGAAGTTACCCTCTGGACATATAAGCAGGAGGGCTGAGCCCTGCTCTTACACTCTCCTTCCTATTGTTTTCTCTTTTCTTTCTTTTTTTGTTTTTTAATTGTGGTATAGTTGTTTTACAATGTTGTGTCAGTTTCTACTGTACAGAGAAGTGAAGTAGAGTTCCCTGTGCTATACAGCAGGTTCTCATTAGTTATCTGTTTTATACATATTAGTGTATATATATGTCAATCCCAATCTCCCAATTCATCCCAGCCCCCACCTTTCCCCGCTTGGTGGAAGTCCATACGTTTGTTCTCTACATTTGTGTCTCTATTTCTGCCTATTGGTTTTCTAATGTGACTTATGTAGTGATAACATAGGTAAAAGATGTAGATGCAGCGACAATGTTGAGTAAAAAGGAACTCTCAGTTCAGTGATGATTGGGAAGTACTCTGATTTCAGGGTTTCTCTAACAGAAAAAATTCCCCCCAAATCATGACTTTTAGAAAAATTTATTCTTTTCAGTCTATTTTAGGGTAACACAAATGTTAGTGTAAGACAGACCTATTTCTGTTTGATTCAGTAGAAGGAATTACCTCTATTAGTAGAAAAGCCAGAAGATCTGGTTTCAGATGAGAGTTACGCAAATACTTGGAAAGAAAAGCATAAGAAAATTACAATTATAACTAGATATTCTGTCCTTATCCATCATTAAAAATAATAGCAAATTATTATGCTTGCTTTTTCTATGACTATTTCATAAATTAATCCTCATGAGAGTTTATAACATGAAGAGGTTATTCAGCTCCCACAGGAAAATCATGAATGAGGTCAGGTGGTTTACAAACTCCATGAGACTGTACACTAAATTTGGTGAGTATGCATATATTTCAGATTCTTAAAGGGCCATTTAACCAGAAGAACAGTTACCTCTGCCATAGAAAATCTAAAGCAAGAGAAAGCAATAATTCTTCCCAGAGACACAGAGTAAGTCAGTGTTAACATCAGATAAAGTAACCAGGGACTTCTGAATCCAAGGCTCTATCTGACTAGATCATTCTCCTTAAGGGATCACATATCCAAAGAGGAGATTCCCCAAGAAAAATAAAACCTCACCTGTTTATGGGAGAAGAAATCATAGGCTGAGGAAGGAATAAAAGTTCATTCTTTATCAATAAGGCCATTATACTGGTTTTCAAAGGGACGTTGCAAAGCAGGGTAAGTCAGAAAGAATCATCTCATTCAGCAGACACAAATGACCCCAGAGGCAGTGCTGCAGTCCCCAAGTCTAAATGTCTTCCCATTTTAGACCAGAAAGAAAACTCAGAAATAATCTGGTCCAATGTTTTTCCAACTTTTTTTTACTACATTTTAAGATACATGAAATCCATTTTACATCATAATCTCACACACACATAACTGAAACACGTTTCATGAAATAATACTCTTACTCTGCGAACACACTGAAAATTTCTAGTCTATTCTTTTTTTGAATTTCAGGTTCCATCCACTAAATAGACTTCACAGCCCAATCACAGGATGGAAGCCACAGTTTAGGAAACATTAATCTAGCCCAAACTTCCCATTCACGGAGGAAGAAACTGTAGCTCAGTGGTGAGGTGAGCCTCCCAGCCACAAGAAGGCTGTCCATAAAATTAAACTCGGGTCTGTCTGATAAGTCCCAAACCAGTGTTTCCCACTAAGACCTTCTCCACCCAGTCACCACACCCCGTACCCAAATACCATGCTACAGTACCCTGTCCAGTCACAGATCCCACAGTCTTCTCCAACTCAGCCCCTCAAAGTTACTGCTCGTTGGTCGGAATCCCTCTGCAGCCGCTGCTTCATGTTCCCTTAGGTCAGAGTCCCCTCACAGTTACTATCCATCGATCGGTCTCCTCCGAGTCGTTGGTCCTTGGTCACAGTTCCCTGCTGTCACTGCTTCATACTTCCTCGGTCATAGTCCCCTCGCAGCCTCTGCCTCGTGTTCTCCGAGGTCAGAGTCCCTCAGCATTCACTGCTGCGGGTCGCAGACCCCTCGCGAGCAGCTGCGTCTCAGTCACAGTCCCCTCGTTGTCAGTGCCCCTGGGTCACAGTAGCCTTGCAGCCCCAGCCTCACACTCCCTTCGCTGTCACTGACCCACTCTTCTTTCAGTCAGTCTCCCCGCGGCCCCAGCGCCACAGTTCCTCCTCTCAAATAGAGCCGCAAGTGTAGGCACACACCGAGTCCTCACCTGCAGCTCACGCTCCCCCGGTCCCTGTCCCGTCGAATTTCTCCCGGGCGCCGCGTCACGGACAAGGGAAGTTGAGGGGGTTGCGGGGAGACGCCTGGGAAAGGCAGCTGACGGAACCGTGGGCCGGAAGTCCCGCCTACTGCCCGCCCTCTTGTCACTCCGACTACGACTTCTCCCTGAAAACCACGACCCCTGACACAGTAGTTCCGCCTCCATAGAGGCCCCGGGGACTGAGTGACTCAACCGAAATCCCTAGAGACAGAAGACAACACGGCAAAGGGTCAGTCTCCATGCGGAACTAGAGTATGCGGTAAAGATACGGATGTATCTTGTAATGAGTCACGCTGTGACTTGTCACTCGTGCTCACCGTCAGTCCTTCAAGAAGCGTTAACGCGATGGCTCCCCTTTTGCCCAGCTCCGGGCTCGGTCCCTTCCAGGAGGACCTGTCAGTCTTGGTCCTTCCTACTCTACCTCAGCGCCTGGCGTGGTGCCAGGCACTCGTACCAGCCCATTCACAGTGCAGATGGCCGGACGCCTTCCACCCTTGACATCCCCTACCTCCACCCCATGGTCTGCGGCTGCTTCACACAGCGCCACCTTTTCCCTACTTGGTGATGTAAAGAGAATTCCAACCAAGTTCTGTGAAAAGCCCTATTCCTGTTATTTCTAACCCAGGTTGGCTCAACAAAAGGTGATCCCTAGGCATCAACTGGGGGCTAGCTGAACAGGAACGGATTCAAGGGAGGCCACTGGTAGGAAATCACACGGCAGGGTGTCTGGTGAAGAGAAACTTTTTCCTTTGCTAGAATGAACCTTTGGAGGCGTCCCTTTTGAGTCTATAGATGTAAGGCAAGTAAATACCCAATGTTATGGAAGAAGTATGTAAAAGAACTTTTTAATGTATTTACTTCTTATTTTTGTCTACATGCTTGACTTGAAAGTGGCTGAGAAGAAATAGGGTGGGTAAAGTTAAGCATCTGCTAAGGAGCCTCCAGGCGAAAAAAAGGATTGTAACCATTCCCTTTCCGGTTTCAAATAGTTATTTGAATAGGGCAGATAGATTAAGATGCTACAGATAAGGACAGCTAGCTGGAGAAGACACCAGGGACTCTAAGGGGAACATTACTACAAAGATAGTGGGAATTGGGATAGTTACCAACATAATCTCCGAGAGTCTTAAGGGAGAGCTAATTTCATATACAGGCTGGAAACTCTCAGACCCTGACACTGGGCAAACCCTGGAGAAAACAAATATATGTTTAAACTAACAAGCTGTGGAAAGTGTAGAGTGGCAAGAGCTGAGCAAAAACACTGGGTGAAAGATAAAAGCAGTAATTCAAAATGTAGTAAAAGCAGTGGGGCTAATGGCAGACTCCGCGAGGGTTCACGCCAACAAGTACTTCCCAGAACTTCTGCTCCCAGTGTCCTTGTCCCCACGGTGAGCCACAGCCACCTCCTGCCTCTGCAGGAGACCCTGCAGCACTAGCAGGTTTCCAAAACTTGACTCCGTGGCTTAGAAAGATCAGTTCCTCTGTGTGGCCAGTGAACGGATGCCAGTTTGCATTTCCAGGAATGATATTCACGTTCAGAGCAAAAAAAGGAGATTGTTTGGAACTTTGCATGTCAGCACTATATGGAGTGTAAGTGGTGAGAGAGGACATCCTTCCCTTTTTCTTGATCTTAAAGGAAATGCTTCCAATAATTCACCATGAAGAATGATATACAGAGTTATTCAGATCTGCTTCTTGAAACAAGTTTGATCCTAAACATGGGCTAAGTGCTTGACCCAGACATCCAGGGCTCAGCAGGATCAACGTAGTCTCTGAGCCTCTTGCTCTGATTCCAACAGTATGATCACATCGCCCTCCATACAGGGCCTTTCACGTTGTAGTTGATGGAGCAGTTGGTGTCCTACCTGAACTCCATGTGTATGTGTATGCACTGTACCTGCAAGAGCCTGTCCTACCCAGAACCTGGTAACCCTCACCAGCTTGATGGCCTACAGACAACTCTGTCCATGATGGTGTCTTGGCAATGATTAGGTTGAAACCATCTGAGAGGATCTTAGGACACTGCATATTGACCTAAGGAGCATCTTGACATGTGGAGAGTAAACTCCAACCTTTTTTGACAAAACTGTCTTTAAGAAACTGGAGTTTTCCAATTTCCTTAAGCTCTTTTCCTATAATTGCTATAAAGTGATATTAATATTTCCTATATGGGAATTCACTGTAGTTATGTTTGATTAATAATATATTATTTGATATTCCTCATTTCCAAAAAAAAATGTACGATAAAAAACTTTATGCACGGGGAGGGGCAGAAGGGGAGGAAAAAAACACAAAAAACTTTATGCACAAATAAACTGATCTCAGTGTTATTTATAATAGTGAAAAATTAGAAATAATCAGTCCCTCAATAAGGACATGGCAAAAATAACCAATGGTGTATAACCTAATGGAATAAGTACAACTATTAAAGTACGCTAGTGAAAATTGCAATCAAATAAAATGGCAAAAAAAATTGCACATGACATTATGAGAAGTGAAAAATCAGGTTACAAAATTATATACATGATTTTTTTAACCCTGCCAAAAAAAAAAAAACACCACTGGTTATGTTTGAACAATTGAATTATGAATTTTCCCTATTTTTTTCTCTACCTTCCAAATGTAATAACATGTTATAAAGAAATCAAAACATTAAAATATAAGGCCTAAAACTCAACAGACTCCGTTGCCAAACTGCCAACTTTATTTTGTCAAGATATTTAACAATATAAAAAACTTCATATTTCTTCATAGTCATATCTTTTTCCAGCTTTCAAAGATTCAATAGTAGAAACAGCCAAATGCCGCTACAACACAGAATAAACTGTCCTAAAAAAACAAACAAAACAGAAAACAAACACACAAATCCAGAATGTTAGTACTAATGAAGGACTAAAGGCAGCACGGACGAGAAATTAACATCTCAGATCTTTGCCAATTTTCAATCATGAAGACTCTT